AGACGAAGACCATGATTGCAGCTTCGGTCCCAGTTAACTCCGAAAGCGTCCACACGCCGACTGGCAGCCGAGTCCCCCACTTCCGATCTCATGACTACCGTCATCCAAGCCTCAGCATCACTGGCGCAGGATCCAATCGCAGGAGCAGGGGTCACGACGAGCGGTCCATTCACTCACCTCCCGACCATCATAGGGAGCGCCGAGTGGAACGGCCTCGCTCACCACCTCGTCGTCGCCCCGTCGATCTTCGCGACACAATCATACAGCGCCGAGCAGCTCGAGGCTATCATCATTCGCCGGACCGCCACGACGACGACCTTGACGGAGTAGCAGCCTTCACCGACGACCTGCGTCGAGTGGATTGGCCAGCCGGCTTCAAACCGACTGGAATAGAGAAGTACGACGGTACCACTAACCCAGAATCGTGGCTTACCGTCTACGGTCTCGCAATCCGCGCAGCAGGAGGAGACAGCAAGGCCATGGCGAACTATTTACCAGTGGCTCTAGCGGATTCCGCCCGATCTTGGCTCCATGGATTGCCCCGTGGTACAATTGGATCTTGGGCTGAATTACGCGACCACTTCATCGCCAACTTCCAAGGCACCTTCGAGCGTCCCGGCACACAATACGACCTTTACAACGTTATTCAGAAGTCCGGGGAATCCCTTCGAGATTACATCCGGCGATTTTCTGAACAACGTAACAAGATCTCCGACATCACCGACGACGTTATCATCGCCGCATTCACCAAAGGGATTCGCCACGAAGAATTGGTCGGCAAGTTCGGGCGTAAGCCTCCCAGGACAGTCAAGCTTATGTTTGAAAAAGCCAACGAGTACGCCAAAGCTGAAGACGCCGTCACCGCATCAAAGCAGTCGGGTCCCAGTTGGAAGCCAAACAAGGGTACGCCGGCCACGGGAGGAGGTGGAAGTAACAACAATAAGGACCGCAAGCGTAAGCCTGTGGAACTTGTTGCAACCGCCACCCATTCTTCTCGACAGCGTTCGCGCGTTAACACGTTCGACAAGATCATGAACTCCCAATGCCCGCACCATCCTAACTCCAACCACGTGGCCAAAGATTGTTTCGTCTACAAGCAGTTTGCGGAGCAATACACCAAGACTACAAGGAAGAATTCTGACGAAGAACAAAGCACGTCGAGGAAGAAGGACGACGGTGACACCCCGGCAGGATTTCAAGACCACCGCAAGGAGCTCAACCATATCTTCGGCGGCCCCCTGGCTTATGAGTCCAAACGGAAGCAGAAGTTGACTGAACGGGAGATCAATACTGTTCAGCCCGACACGCCCCAGTATCTTCGATGGTCAGAGATTGCAATCAAGTTTGACCGCTCGGATCACCCTGACCGAGTGGTCCACCCGGGGCGGTACCCCCTGGTACTAGACCCAGTGGTCCGTAATGTCAAGCTTCGCAGAACCCTCATTGACGGTGGCAGTGCGCTCAATATCCTCTTCGCCAAGACCTTGGATGATATGCAGATTCCTCGCTTTGAGCTAAAACCAAGCAATGCGCCTTTTCACGGAGTAATTCCAGGATTATCCGCAACTCCACTCGGCCAGATCACCCTCCCGGTCACCTTTGGCACTCGGGAAAACTTCCGCACAGAGAATATCAGCTTTGAAGTCGCCGATTTCGAGACAGCATACCATGCCATACTCGGACGCCCGGCGTTAGCCAAGTTCATGGCCGTCCCGCACTACACTTACATGATGATGAAGATGCCTGGTCCCCGAGGAGTCCTAGCCCTACGAAGCGACATCAAGCAAGCCGTCACATGCGACAAGGAGAGTTGCGACATGGCCCAAACCCGCGAGATGGCGTCTGCCCGAGAGGATATCCGACTGGCTGCAGCCACGGCGAGCGAAGGAGAAGTGCCCGCTACCAAGATTTCAAAGAGTGGAGAAAGCGAAGCCAAGACTAAAAAGATTCCCCTAGATCCTTCTGATTCTACTAAAACTGTTGTAATAGGCGCCGAGTTAGATTGTAAATAGGAAAGCGCGCTCATCACCTTTCTTCAGAACAATAAAGATATCTTTGCATGTAAACCATCTGATATGCCCGGTATTCCTAGAGAGGTGATTGAGCACTCCTTACATGTCAAAGAAGATGCCAAGCCTATCAAACAACGACTCCGCCGATTCGCACAAGACAGGAAGGACGCGATCAAGGAGGAATTAACCAAGCTGTTAGCAGCATGCTTCATTAAAGAAGTCCTTCATCCCGACTGGCTGGCAAACCCGGTTCTAGTTCGGAAGAAAACAGGGCAATGGCGCATGTGTGCTGATTATACTGACCTCAACAAATCTTGCCCTAAGGATCCTTTTGGGTTGCCTCGCATTGACCAGGTAGTCGACTCGACCGCCGGCTGTGAGCTTCTCAGTTTTTTGGACTGCTACTCGGGGTATCATCAGATCCGACTAAAGGAATCCGACTGCTTGAAGACTTCATTCATCACGCCCTTTGGGGCATACTGCTACGTCACCATGCCGTTCGGACTGAAAAACGCAGGAGCAACTTATCAACGTATGATCCAGAGATGCTTCTCAACGCAGATCGGTCGCAACGTTGAAGCCTATGTGGATGATGTAGTCGTCAAGACCAAGCAAAAGGATGATTTGATCTTGGATCTAGAAGAAACCTTCGCGAGCATCCGCGCTTTCAGGATGAAATTAAACCCTGAAAAGTGCACCTTCGGAGTACCGTCAGGGAAGCTGCTTGGTTTTATGGTGTCTCATAGGGGCATCCAAGCCAACCCGGAGAAAGTTACCGCTATCCTCAACATGAAACCGCCAAGTACCCAGAAAGATGTTCAGAAGCTGACTGGATGCATGGCGGCGCTCAGCCGATTTGTTTCAAGACTTGGCGAGCGGGGGATGCCCTTCTTTAAGCTACTAAAGAAAACAGACAACTTCCAGTGGGGACCCGAAGCACAGAAGGCCTTCGAAGATTTCAAGAAACTCCTCACCGAGCCACCGGTCTTAGCCTCACCACACCCGCAGGAGCCGTTGTTGCTGTATGTAGCAGCCACCTCCCAGGTTGTGAGCACAGTCTTGGTCGTTGAGCGCGAGGAAGAAGGCCATGTCCAGAAAGTCCAGCGACCGATTTACTTTGTCAGCGAGGTCCTATCCGACTCCAAAACGAGGTACCCTCAGGTTCAGAAGCTGTTATATGGTATTCTAATTACTACCAGGAAGCTATCTCACTACTTTCAAGGTCACTCGGTAACGGTGGTCACATCATTCCCACTCGGTGATATACTGCACAACCGCGAAGCAAACGGACGGATTGCTAAGTGGGCTTTGGAGTTGATGTCTTTGGACATATCATTCAAGCCCCGAATTTCAATCAAGTCCCAAGCGTTAGCTGATTTTGTCGCCGAGTGGACCGAGTGCCAGGAGGATACCCCCGCGGAGAAGATGGAGCACTGGACCATGCATTTTGACGGATCAAAACGACTTTCAGGCACTGGAGCAGGACTTTCCTTGACAGCCGATGATTTCCTTGACAGGGAGAACGCCGTGCGCCACCATCTCCTTCAGGTTCTCCTCCGTCACGTCGGACGGCGCCCATTGGCCTTCAAAGCTTTCGCCCATTGGCCTTCAAAGCTTTCTTTTTCTTCTGCCATCGATTTTACCCGAATGCGCTGATTTGATTCGAGGGATGGCTGGGGAGAGGTGAGGGATTGAGGCGGTGGATCACGGGAAGGATTTTGATGAACTTTTTGAAGGTGGATTCGAGTGGAATGGTGAACCCTAGTTTGCCGGCGCAGCTCTGTACTGTAGCAGGGATTGGGGAAAATGGCGAGAGTTCCGGCGGGGAAGACGAAGCGTCGCTTCAATCTCGGGATTTCTTGTTAAGGGTATCGGAGGTGCGAATGGGCTTAGGCCTGAACAGTACCTCAGCCCAATACTTTTGACAGCGTGGCCCATTGTGTTCCTTAGAGACTTAGGCATTTTTTGCTTTGGCAATTTATGCGCACAATAGTGTTGCCCAATGCTGATAAAATCCTTTTTTATGCGGTCATATAATTCTTTGGAATTATTGCAATGCAAATTAAAAGGTGCCCGACAGAAAGGCGTTATGCTGTTTTTGTAAGCTTTTTTAGGCTACAAAAGCTGTCTGGGTTAACTTGGAATGGCTTGTTTTTACCATAGTCATTTCCTTGGTATGTTATATGCCTGTTTTCATTATGGTAAATAGTCATAGCCTAGGCTATTAGACTTGTTCATTACCATAATTTTTATAATACTTGGTGGGTAATCTTTAGAGTTTTTTATTCGGATGCCTGTCAAGTATGTTCATTCGTGGACCTTTTAGAGTGTTAACCACTCGGATTCCTTTTATTATGACCAAAAAGCAGTCGGCAAGAATGCCTCTTTAGGCGCCGCGTCTGCTTTTGTCATATGATGCACGATTGTGCTATTATTTTGTTCTCAACTATATGTTTAGTTTGTTAACTAATCACATAGTTGGGGGCTACACCTAATTAGGTGCATCTATTCGATGCACCATATTCTTTATTTTTTCGCCCTTTACAGTCTTCGTCTTCGCTACTCGGCAGGCCTTAGCATGAAAAATTTGAAGCACTCGGATTATTATCTTTGAGAAGGCTATGATGGTTGACTGCAAAGGTCTCGGGGGCTACTGTGGAGATTATGGATATCCCATATCTACACGGCGATGGTATTTGGACTGAATATAGGATACCGAATATAGGTAGAATATCTTATTTGTATCTCGGGTTTGTTTCTTAACTTGTACATCAAGGAAACACCTTGAGACTTAGTCGGTTACGACTGTATTTTATCTGTATCTGTATATTCCGTTAGGGATATAGATTATCTTTTGTAACACGGACTCCTTCCCATATATAAGGGGGGTCCGGGTGCCTCTAGGGGCAGAGGTTGATTTTCTCCAAATCATACAATCAATAATACACTCGGCGGATTCATCCCCGGACAGGAGTAGGGTATTACTTCTTGAATAAGAAGGCCTGAACCTGTATAAATCCTTTGTCTCCAAACTCATACACTTTTCCAGCTTGATAGCCACCCCCTTTTATTATTGCCGAAATCTAGTTTCGACATAAACACACCCTTTAACTACTCCGTACACTACTACACACGCCAGCAGTGATGTGAAGCACAGCAGGTGATCGGAGAGACCATCTCTAATACTAGGCCTCTACACTCTTACTTGGCCACGGCGAGTTCTCGCCATGGACGACGCATCGATTAGTACTGTAAAGCCTACGCGCCGGCGCCGAGGCGCTGGGTGGCAAGGTCGCAGCGCGCTGGCGCGAAGCCGACGCGGCCGTTCTGGAGGTCGTACTCCACCCACACGTTCTGCTGGTGGTGGTGCCCGATCACGTACGCCGACATGCCGGCCATGTCCGAGTTGCCGAACGTCAGGCACCACACCGCCTCCGCGCCCCCCTCGCCGCGCCGCTCGCCTGGCACCATGTACAGGAGCTTCTCCCCGGACACGGCCACCTCCGCGCCGCGGAGTACGAGGCCCACCTCCGGGAGGAGGCCGCTCGCCGCCGCCACCCGGGCCTCCGGCCCGCGGAAGCACGCGTCGAACGCGCCCTGGAACACGAACCCTGGCTCTCCCAGCGGGGCCAGGAGCAGGCGCGCCTGGCTCGTGAACTCGGCCTTGAGCGCCGCGTAGGCGTCGGCGAGGAGGAAGGTGAACTGCGTGCCGGAGTCCACCATTGTCTGCCCGGCGCCGGTGTGGTCCGGCGTGAGCACGGACTTTGGGATGGGGAGCAGCGCGCAGCCGACGCGGATGCCCTCCAGCTGCACGGAGTATGCCACCCGGTCGAAGTACGGCAGCGGCTGGGAGATCTCGATCAGCGGCGTGTAGTTGAGCGGCGGAGCCACGCCGCCGTCGTCGCCGAGGAGGAGGACGCCGGGGCCCTCGCCTGGGGCGATGCAGTAGGCGAAGCGACGGGTGCCCGTCTGCGTCACGAAGGAGAGGGTGCCCCGGTTCATGCCGAGGAGGCCGGTCGCCGCCTCCGAGACGTCCGTGCCGGTGCCGTTGCTGTTGGTGGCGGTGGTCGACGAGTAGGAAGTGATGCAACCGAAGTAGGCGCCCACGGCCACGGGCGGGGCGCCGCCAGTGAGGAGGAAGGTGTCGGTGGCGAGGACCCCGTCGGCCGAGGAGGCGTCGGCGTAGGAGAGGGAGACGCGGCAGGCGTTCGACGGCGGCGTGTCACAGAACGGCGGGACGGGGAGGTCGCGGCCGCGCCACTCGCACGCCGTCGACGGGCAGGGGACCGCGCCGTACGAGGAAGAACCCGACGCGTTGAACGCCGGGGTCAGCGGCGGCGCGTAGCTCCCGTTGCAGAGCAGCCACGAGAGCTCGCTGCCGGTGTCGAGCACCATCGTCACGTTCTGCGGTGGCGTGCCGACGGCCACCGGCACCGTCAGGCTCACATTGTGCCGGAACCGGAGCCTGTTCGCCGCCGGCGCCTCCAACTCCACCTCCTGCACCCGCACCTGCAGCGGGAGGACCGTGCCCGCCGGCGACCTCCCTTCTCCGCCGCTCGCAAGAAAGACGCAGAGGCAGAGCAGAACAAGAGACGCCTCCATGACGCGCGCGCGCGGCCGGCCAACGCAGCCACCCTTACGTTTTACCTCTCAAAAGCGCGCGTTAAGCGAGACCAAACTCTGCAAGAATGCAAACGGCAACGCACTCTGGTTAATTCATCGGATGCACCAGCATCCGGCAATTACACCATCACTACACCTTCTCCTCCTCCTCCTCCTCCTCGTGGCATCGACATCTCCATCATTAGCGTCACCTTCGCGAGCGTTTTGATCTTTGCAGATGTGTGTGTTTGGTGTAGCAGAGCAGTAGAGCAGCACAGTACACTACGCCTACTCGCCATGTTGCATGGTCCTTTCCTTCACCCTGGGGCGGGCTGGTCCCGTGCGTGCGTGTGGGGGGCTCTGCAGCTGCAAACATGTACAGGAGGTGAAGTACTACGTACTTCTACGTGGAGGGATCACGGATCTCATCTCATAAATACGCTAGTCCGGCCGGGGCAGCGAGGACTTTCAGCACAGATGCTCGTTGTCGATGGCACCATCCGTTGTTAAGTTTGTCAAAGGAGATCTTTCTGTGTTACTATTGGCTCCAGTTCATCCTGTCTGCGGTTGAGAACTCCCAGGTCGATAGCTGGATTCTATGCCATGGAACACCGAAAGACCGAACGCACTGGCCAGCTTGCGCAGATGTTTCAGTGCCTTGAGTTCAAAACCGAACTAGAGCGAAACGCTACTAGCTGAATCCTCGGTCCTCCGTAGGGGTGAGACGGTCATGAAAATTCCCAAGCGAATGCCCGCTTATTTCTGATTTTTATCAGTCAAGCAATGTGAAAATAGTTACTTACAGAACAAAAATAAAAATGAAAATAGTAAATTATATGAATAAAGAAATGAAAATGATTTCTCTGTTTACCGACGTTTCCAAATTTTACCATAATTATAAATTTTTATATTATAGTAATTACCGTTAATATTTATGGTCCGTATTTGACCCATAATTTAGAGGCATGTTAACTTCTCAACCAAATCCCTAACTTAAATACTCCCTCCATTTCATAATGTAAGAGTTTCTAGCATTGTCCACATTCATACATTCATATGGATGTTAATGAATCTAGACATGTATATGTGATTGGATTCATTAACATCCATATGAATGTGAACAATGCTAAAAAGTCTTACATTGTGAAACGGAGGAAGTACATGATTAAAAGGAAGTCAATTTATAATTTATATAGTGCAACCTTGAATTTATTTTGGTTGGAAAATTTTGCTACATAACACCTAAAACTTGTCTAACTTGCTGATAGACATCGAAAAAACGTGTCATGACTAAAAGACATCCAAAAAACTGGTGGTTTGCCAGAGAACAATTTCGAATCAATTGAAGAGATAATTTTTTAAGAAAGACGAGAATGTATTTAGTACCACATACTTCAAACAAGGCGTTAAAATAAAAGTTTAGAAATTACGCAACTCTAAATTTGCCATCACTTCAAGTACATCACTAGCATATATCGTATTCCTTATTCACTCCATCCTCAGATCAAAAGCTTTCGATCTTAGGGGTTTTCTCGTCCTTTTGAAGAATTCATTTCTCCAATTGAGCCAAAAGTATCTTCTAACAAATTACCATTTTTTTAGAGTGTCTTTTAGCCGTAACACGTTTGTACGATGTTTCCCAGCAAATTAAATAAATTTTGTGTCATTTAGCAAATTTTGTCATAGTTATGCAAAGTTAAATACATGATTTTACAGTTAATTATTTTTGAATTTTTATTACAGTACCATATTTCAATTGATACCAACAAGTTTCCGTCAATATAATTCTTCTTTTTTATTTTTTGATACAATTTTCTTTTCCAGATTTATCGTTCTCGATTCTATTTTTTAAAATGGTTATGAAAATGATTCAACATTTTTTCCACTGTTTTCATGCCTACTCCTGAGTCATGACCAGCTTCGCTACGCGCCTACGCCGAATCCAGAGCCCAGCAATGATACTTGTTCCATGGGGGCCATACTGATCATGAGATGCCGACGGGCGCCTTATGATTTTTGCGTCGCATGTGGCGTGCTCCGCGACATGGACCGGATCACTGCACTGGACGGGATCGATCACACTGGGCTCTTTGATTATTGGCTTTGCCAACTCTAGCTGCCGAGATGGGAGATTGGGAGCACGTTTCCCTTACGTGAAAGTAAAGTGAACTCCTCGTTGTTGTACGAAGCATTCGCGGATCTGGCCTTCTCCGGTCTCCCGGTCTCGTCCCTTCGGCGTACTCCTCTCTCGATGCCGTCACGCTTGACGACACCAAGAGAGGAGGACAGAACACCGTGCAGGGAGAAAACGGCCTGTGCCTTCACGTACGCACAGTACGCCGCTAATTTTGATTCTTCGAGATTAAAATGGAAATCCTTGTGTAGACTTGGGGTATTCCACGAAAATCAAATCTATCATCTCCTATGATAAATGGATCTAATACGAGATACAATACATCTTAGTATTATCAATGTGTTGACTCATGATATTGCACATAAATCAAATGTATTCCTCCCGTCCTATAATAAACAATAGGATATGATATACTCCCTACATCCCATAAAATACCAACCTAATACTGATATGACATATCCTAGTTTGTTTAGATTCGTAGTATTAGTGTGCATCATATTTGATAATATGTTGGTTTTCTATTAAACGGAGGAAGTATCTTCTAAAATAAACTTAACAACATAATATAACATAATATGAGATGTGACACATAATGTGTTGAACTTATTTTTATCTTAAAATAAACAACGAGATATGATACATTTTAGCACAATCAATCGATCATATACCGTATGTTGGGCGTATGTAGGGACGAAGGTAGTAAGAGATAATGTCAAATTCAAAGCTGGAAAGTCGCCGTGGTTCGGTTCGGCTCCACGAATGATTAGAGCCGTACTACGTTGGCCCCTCCCAGACCAACAGACGACCACTATCCTGCTTCATTTAGCCCAAAACAGTAGCCACGTACACGGCAATCATGCACAGTTTTTAAAGCCCCGGTGCAAGCCAGTCTGGCACGAGGGAGGACAAGAGGATGTCACAAAGCAAGCAGAATCATCCAATCTCTCCCCCTGCTTGACATAGATTTTGAGCCGTACTTGCACCAATTATATGCCGCCTAATTTCTGCAATCCATCGCTGGTGATTGGAGGCAAGGGTACACAATGGAGGGTAATTCAATACTTGGACGCTGCAAAATGATGTCGGCACGTTGGGGAGAGAGGGGCCAAACCAGCAAGCAAAGTGGAGCTAACTTTCAGAAAACATGGAGCCTCACCAAAGCATTTGCAAGGACACACGCAGGGTGTAGTAGTAGGACTATTGGTTCTGAAATCTGGAGCAAACCATTTAGAATAACCAAAAGGCTCGCGCTGTATTTGCACATTAGCACCCGTCGAGTCCACTCCGACAGTGTTGTGTTCACAGCAGAGCACCTAGCCCAGCCATGCTGGCATGCTGCCAAAACAATCACAGCTGCATTGTGAGTTTGATTTAGATTATTGGACGGATTATTATCACTGATTATCTACTTACTATAGGAGTAAATTATTTTTTAAAAAAATTAATAAATTATCAGGATTATGGATACCACATACCTAATAGTAGTAGACTAAATCTCGGCAGGACCCACAACATACCATGTCCTATACGGAAATAACATGCGGATATAGGAGTAGTTCCGGATAAGGAAAGACAACCAGAGTTCTACATGGAAACGACAAGGACTACTCGGATTGTATCCATATTGGTTTCCCTAGTTCTACTTGGACAAGGAGACACCTATGGGTATAAATACAAGACCCCCTAGGAAGAGAGGAGACACGAGACAATCAACACCTACCACAGTCAACATACAGGGAACAACAGAAGCCACAACATACAAGCCAACATACGCCAAGACAAGACGCCGGATATTGACTTCGGAGATAGGTACGGCTAGTCCCCTGCGGTGTCTCCAGATACTGTCAGTAGAGACGAAAGCGTTATCTTTGATCTTGCCGGACACGAACTCGAGGAGGAAAACTACCCTGTTCTCGACTATGAGTCAGACCTTCAGACCGCTATGTCGATAACAGTTAGATAGGCAACCCCAAATATTGTACTGGTGCGATTATGGTGAATAAGAGTAATACCGGCTTCGGCCAACAGGATGTAGGGTTATTACCTGACAATTCAGGGGCCCGAACCTGTATAAAAATCCCTGTCTCCGTCTCTTTTACCTCAGTCTCGTGTATATCCTAGTACCAACGATCCCCATACCATGCAAATACCGGAATCGCGACATCAAACGTCGACAGTGGCGCGCCAGGTAGGGGACTTTGGTGCTTCAGGATTTCGACGAGATGGGTTTAAGAGATGGATTCTCCGACAACAAGCTACTCGACGACTTCGGCTGTGGGGAGGTCTAACCCGACCGGAGTTTGCCTTCCGACGAGATCGGAACCATCGTCATCAACTATTCGATCCGACGAGATCGATCAAGCTTCAAGACGTCACCGCCGCGGAGAACAACAGTTCAATGTTGTCGATCGTGAGGCCTTGGCCCGATTGATTACTTTGAAACCACGTCGCCGCCAAAAATCTAATCAGATTATCCATCTACATCATCAGAGGTAATTAGTAAGATTGATTATTAAATTGATCTACTAATTTTGTAGATACATCCGGCATGTATCTACAAAGGTATGCAATATTTTATATGCAATTTACCGTACCTATATTCAGATCATACAGCATTGTCAGATCCATGTTATGTTTACCTAGAGCATGTTTTTTATACAATATCTATTATACGAGTGTTTTCGGTGTTAGGCCGAGAACAGTTTAACGCTGGGGGCTCGCTCTATTTTCTTCCGTATAAATCATGCTTGTTTACGGTTTACATAATGCCTGATATTTACATCTGCTCGTTATATCCTGATAATGCTAGAAGATCCATACAGTTTTTTGAGTACATACTCGATATTATATGCTATATGTCTTGCCTTCTAGAAAATATTTTTCAGGAACAATTGAGCACTCGAGTAGGTTGTGGTCAAGTACACCGCATTATCGAGAACGACCTCGACAAATGCAGAGTCGTCGCGCCCAACCTACCAACGAAGACCGGCGACCTATCTCATAGCACCGGCCATGGCTGGACTACTCAAGAAAAGGTTGTTAACGGATAATTCCTCGCAAACGCCGTCGGCTTGATCACCCGACATGATTGCGAACGAACATCCGGATATGCTACAAGTTGGGTGTGTGAGTCATGCTGGCCACATGAGACGCACATGTAATAAACCAACTCTAGCACTTCCATTGGTGTTCGAGAGATGATTCTACTCGCTCGCTGGTTCTCAAACCAGTACGTAGCAATCTCTCGCACCGCAACCTCCATTGGTGTTCGAGAGATAATTCTACACGTTCGCTGGTCCTCGAACCAGTACGTAGCACTCTCTCGCACCGCAACCTCCATTGGTGTTCGAGAGATAATTCTACACGTTCGCTGGTCCTCGAACCAGTACGTAGCACTCTCTCGCACTGCAACCTTAGATGGTCGAGGTACGACTACAGCAATAACGCAGCGGTCCTCGTACCACGACTTCAAATGATCGAGAGACATCTACTCACTGGTTCTCAACTAGTCAATCGTAGCGATCTCTCGTACATTTCCACTTCTAGTGGTCGAGTTTAGACTACACCTGGTCCTCGACCAGCGGTGTAGCGATTCTCCCACTATTTCTACTTCTAATGGTCGAGTTTAGACTACACCTGGTTCTCGACCAGCAGTGTAGCGATTCTCCCACTATTTCCACTTCTAGTGGTCGAGCTTAGACTACTACCTGGTCCTCGACCAGTGGTGTAGCGATTCTCCCACTATTTCTACTTCTAGTGGTCGAGCTTAGACTACTACCTGGTCCTCGACCAGTGGTGTAGCGATTCTCCCACTATTTCCACTTCTAGTGGTCGAGTTACGACTACTACCTGGTCCTCGACCAGCGGTGTAGCGATTCTCCCACTATTTCCACTTCTAGTGGTCGAGTTACGACTACTACCTGGTCCTCGACCAGCGGTGCAGCGATTCTCCCACTATTTCCACTTCTAGTGGTCGAGTTACGACTACTACTTGGTCCTCGACCAGCGGTGCAGCGATTCTCCCACTACCTCTACCTCAACAAGTTGATATCAGGTACACAATGTCGCCAAGCATTTTACCCAGAGATCCCTTACCACAAAGACACCTAGCGTTGAAACCTATCCTCATGTCCCTTTACGCCGTCTTGACAAGGACTCCGAGGAACCTAAGGAAACTTCGGCTGGGGATGCCCAGAGCCGATAAGGCCTTGTCGGATCCTGTAGAGACAAAAGTCCATGTAAGATCTGGTCGTGTAAGAGTTCTCGCCGTGCGTATTAACCAAGCCGTATAATCAGAAATTGGGTTTTCCAACTTCACGGCTGGGGGCTAGGATCAGTGCTTGTTCAACCGAGGCAGGTCAAAGGTCCAAGAGCCTTATCTCCCGAGAACGATTCTCCGATGACAAGGCTGGGGGCGGAGAGTGTATAACTCAACAAACTGACTGATCGAAGTCGGTAAAAGAGTAGACGCTCATGTGCAAAACATTGGTCTGTAAATTCAATTCATTTTTAGTTTTTCATATATATTATAACATGTCACCCTTTAAGCGTTCGCTCGGGGGCTATTTCTATCTAATACTCTTTTCTGAGTATTGATTTCAGGAAAATTCTATTCGACATTATCGAAAGCTCCATGTCTCTATGGTTCTACACCAAGATCGACTAAGGCGAGTACGACAAATATTGACAAGGCTCCGTCGCAGACTCTACGCCTACTCGATTACTCGAGAACGGTTGGTGGATCTCGACAAGGAATACGGAATGAAGAGATGGTGTACCCGCCGAGATAAACTTCTTGACTTCAATCCAAATTCTCGATTACAGCAAGACGGGAGACTTAGTCGTATGCTCTGTACTTTCTTGGTTCACATCGGAGATGGACTCAGACAAACCCTTTAGGTGCCTGCACGAGGCTGATAAAGGAAGTCTAACGTTATCTCTGAACTCACCGATAACGGTCACAAGAGCTCGATAACAGTTCCTCCAAGGTCTGCAGTTGAGAATATGAACTCGCTCATTTGCATTGAAGTCGGGGGCTACTATCAGGGTTATGGATACCACATACCAAATAGTAGTCGACTAAATCTCGGCAGGACCCACCACATACCATGTCCTATACGGAAACAACCTGCGGATATAGGAGGAGTTCCGGATAAGGAAAGACAACAAGAGTTCTACATGGAAACGACAAGGACTACTCGGATTGTATCCATATTGGTTTCCCTAGTTCTACTTGGACAAGAAGACACCCATAGGTATAAATAAAAGGCCCCCTAGGAGGAGAGGAGACACGAGACAATCAACACCCACCACAGTCAACATACAGGGAACAACAGAAGCCACAACATACGTCAAGACAAGACGCCGGATATCGACTTCGGAGATAGGCACGGCTAGTCCCCTGCGGTGTCTCCGGATACTGTCAGGAGAGACGAAAGCGCTATCTTTGATCTCATCGGGCACGAACTCGAGGAGGAAAACTACCCTGTTGTCGACTACGAGTCAGACCTTCAGACCACTATGTCGACAACAGTTAGATAGGCAACCCTAAATATTGTACTGGTGTGATTATAGTGAATAAGAGCAAAACCGGCTTCGGCCAACAGGATGTAGGGTTATTCCGTGACAATTTAGGGGCCCGAACCTGTATAAAAATCTTTGTCTCCGTCTCTTTTACCTCAGTCTCGTGTATATCCTAGTACCAACGATCCCCATACCATGCAAATACCGGAATCGCGACATCAAACGTCGACACAAATAGCTTGAAATAAGTTATCTAAATAATATAATGCAGCAGAAGAAAGTTTTACGAGAGGACGTATTTTTCGAAGCATAGAGTAAGTAACCTGTTTCAATAATCCGGGGAATGAGCTGAAAAGAACAAGGCCAGATCTTCTCTTCCTAAGCCTTTCTGAGAAGATACGTACGCAATCCTTGCATCTGAATTCGGATACAGATTTGGCAGATGAGATTGAACTGTCCCAGGGCCTATTGTCTGTGGCTCATTCAGCACAGCGAGCAATTGTCTGTGGCTCATTCAGCAGCAGTCGTTCTCGCGGCGCACGCGCTCGCAGTGACGGCCAGGACGAACGCTGAAAGTTGTCCAGGTCCACCGATACAATTCCAAAACCATTGAGCCATCCTGCCAAGCATTTTCCCTGATGAGTACTTAGTACCAAAGCCAGCCTCAACCTCTGGTACCTAACAGGAAAGCTTACCTCAAAAGAAGATGAGCGTCCATAATGGCAGGGAAAGCGAAGGGCGTTCTACTGCTCATCATACATGGCCTCCTGGAAAGAATGGGTCCAGTCCCGATTGACCTGACAACTGCCTTTCAATCTTGGTCAGAAGCTCTTAGGCTGAGATACTTCTAAAAATGGACCCCCAAAGCTTCGACCATTACCTAGACCAGTAGCAGTACAGAATACCTCCATGGATGCTCCAGCAGGATGTTTAATCAACCGACATTAGATGATGTAGAATGCTCAACGAACAAGAGAACAGCATTTCATCTAATGTAGGTAACAGGCTTGTGGGAAATTCATGTAGCCCTGCAACTCAGAATTTGACAATGGCAAGATGTTAACAGATGAACACAATTAGCAGGTGATACTTCAGAAGATTCTATGAGGTTTCAACTTTCATAGGATATATCTCCCCTGCCGACAAAATGCCCCCACAATGCCATCAAGTAACTGATATTAAATTACTGTTAACTATAGAACATTGGAAACAAACAGGCATCATCCTGAACATGTTTGCCATTCAACTAGAGAACCTTGTCAAAGCTACACATGGGTCCACTGAATGTCAACCTACAGTTCAGGGAAGGAGTGACGACATGGACGTTTTCATGGAAATTGTATCACAGTTTTTCTATCCTGGGGCTAAAGAAAGGCCTTCTGATAACTAGCAACAGAAAATTAACCACGTATGCTGAAATAGCTTATCTACTCCAGAGTAAACCATTGAGTCCGTTAACAAAGAAGAAACCAAACAGGTCGCTTGATAACTATTCACAGCCAGCAGTTGATGCAAGAAAAGTAATGCAACTCGTTAGTATTCCTTAGTCACTAGCCAATAGATAGGAATCTCCAGGTGCAGAAAACAACCAAACAATCGGTTCCATGAGCAACCATGAAGTACAGTTGCACTCCAGGAATGACAAGGTGAAGACCAAGTAACACACGATAACACTGTTAACTCAGAAAAGTATGTTCTACTAACTGCACAGTTTGTGCTTAAAAGTAGTAGACACGGACTATGAGCCAAAGTTTTTAAGAAATGAAAACCATTTCTATCCTCAAGTGTGAAGAGTGAAAGATAATTGGCATTTCATTTCTGCTGCAGGCAATAAAGATTGGTATTAGATGTTTCAATATTCACCATGGTAAAAGAGATGTAGAAACAAGCAGACAACTAAGGCATGGAACTGCACGATAAGTTGGTAGGAGGATGGGCAGGCAAGAAAAAAGCTAGCAGGATATGAATATTGAACTTGAGTTCTGTTTGAAATCCTTCTGCTCTAAGTAACTTTGAAGTTACTTCTCTGTCCAAAAAATAATCACAGTAGAGTATGATCAGGTATAGAAGTAACAAAAGAGAACACAAATATAAATTGGTAAGAAAAATAAGTATGCTATTGCATGAAACCGAGCCTTACGGAAAAAACAAAAGCATTCCATGGTAACTACATCCACATAAAGCAGGATAATCAATATGTTTCTTCTTCCATAACACTAAGCCATTAACAAAAGGTTGCTAGAGAATGTTTTTTGGGTTGCATCAATCCATGTTGCTACTGCAGCCACATAAACCATGCATGATTGCAAAATCCAAATAGACAACATGATAAATTGCTACGGCATAACCATAGAAATACAATAAAATGTCATTATGTTGCTATATATCATAAAAGAACACAAGGGAAAGGAAAGCAAGCACATAAGAAACAAAAAGGAAATTTCACAGTTAGGCCAACCACTATGCATTAACATTTACATTAAGAGAAAGAAACCACAGGAATGAACATAGACAAAGAATCACCATGCATTTTGCATGATACTGTAATATTATTGTTCAACAACCCTGCCGCAGAGGGAAATGGGAACAATACAACAATACTACCAGCAACTCTAGAAAAGCACCGAGTGATGAAGAAATAGAATAGCTAGACCTGCTATGATGAAGTTACACATAAACCATGCCTGCATTTAAGCATCCATTTATGGGCACAGAGCAATCTGTTAATTGTTCAGAGATATAGGAAAAGCCAAATAATTTGTTAGCTGAGTGATGCTGTAAATGTATTATCTAACCATATTACAAGTGTAAAGCACCATACACCCCAGATCCCAAATAAACCCCCACGATAGTTTAACTCATTGAAGAAACAAACCTACTATCTTGGTATTTCAACATTACAAAGTACAAGCATACCACAGTCAGACTCAATTATGTATTATTAGTTTCACTCTTTATCAGAATAATGAAAACATGACAGGGCAGCATGTGAGACAGGACACAAAAGAAACAACAGGCCTGACATAATGAGGTTGGCATCCCTATTCAGCAACCGTACTAGCTCAAGATATGATCAAGACATTATAGTGTCTTATGTCTAGATATTGTAGCAAAATACTATGCGAAACGTATTATCAATATTAAACAGGACACACAAAAGCTTATATTCAATTTCACCAGGAGAATACGAACAATAACAAATAAAAAAGGCTGAAATTTTATTAGAACAAGATATTGCAAATCAGAAATCTTCTTGGCCCAATCCAGTATATACACAAACAGTACAGAGGTAAGAACAACACTTTGTTCTCTCTGACTACAACATTGCAACAATTGATTTACCCAATAAATTCACTGTCATTCCTTTCATGAAGTCCTGTGCTTCTTCCTCCTAATTTGCTTTCCAAACTAATTTCCAGTTGTTTGCTATTTTGCTCGTGGCCATCTCTAAATAAACTCTTAAAACGGGACAAAGTGGAAAAAAATCGCAAGGTTTTCATTTACATCAAAAGTCCCAAGAACTTATAATCTGGGTTCCCTTCTTATACTAAATCCTACTTATTCACCACTATCAATAGGAGATCGAGTTACCGAGAAAACTGCGTTCAGCCACTACGGGACTGCGATGATGAACTCTCCGGCCGACTGCTCCGACCAAAACAACCAAACAGATTCCTAAATACACGGCGAATCCGACCTTCGCCGCCATCGACATGGCCGTCGCCCTCCGGCCACGTTACCCGCCTCGGCCCGACGCCGTTACTGAAGCCCCCATCCAGTTCAGTGTAGACAACCGGAAGCTGCTCCCTTGGCCCACCGGCGAACCTCCCGACGGCGAATCCACCGCGTGGGAGTCGCCAGATGGTTAGTCCCGCATCTGCCTCCGACTCGGGGGCCGCGGCCGCCGGTAGCTCGCGGCGGCAGACGGGGCATGAGTTGCGGAGGGAGAGCCAGGGCAGGATGCAGTCCTGGTGGTAGACGTGCTTGCACGGCATCTCCCGCGCGGAGGCGCCCGGCTCGAACGCCTCCTGGCACACCGCGCAGTGCGCCCCGCTCCCGGCAACCGTCACCGACGGCATCGACTCCACCGCCGCCTTCGACGCCGGCGGCCGCGGCGCCGCCGCCTCGAGCCGGGAGAACTGGTCGAGCAGGCGGTGGAAGCCCGACCCCATGAGGAGGTGCGACACGTCGCCGGGCAGCGGCCGCAGCCCGTCGCCGGAGCCGTCGTCGTAGTAGAGCTCGAACCCGGACAGGGACCCTCCCCGGAGCACGATCACCGGGTTCATCGCCCCGCGCCGGCCGCTCCCGCCGCCGCCGCGCGGCGGCGGCTGCGGGAACTGCTCCAGGAAGCCGCCGTCGCACTCCGGGCAGACGACCGTGGACGGCGACACCCTCACGAAGCGGCTGCAGTGGTAGCACCAGTACGACACCGGAGAAGACGCCATCCGCGCCTTGAACCAAATCGCCCCCAAACCAAACCAAACCAAATCGAACCAGAAACTCAAATCGTCTGCTCCAAAACTCCAGACGCAGATCGAGACGGGAAGCCGAGGCGGGATCCGAGGAATCCCACGGAGGCGAGGACGCCGAAATCCCCAATCGAATTCGCCGCCGGATTCGAATTGGGGGTTTCGGGGAGGAGAGGAAACTAGGGGAGGCGGAGGAGGGGAATTGCGGGGTGGGTGAGTGGGTGCGCCGCTTTTATTTGGGACGGCGCGTCGTCGCGGGGGGGCGGCGCCGTCGAGGTCTGACGGCGGCCGCACGTGGAGCGCCGCGATTGGGTGGGATGTGCTGACGGCGTTAGCTCTGTAGAGTGACGTTGACTGGTCAGACGGGCCGGGAGTCAAAGGGGAGGCAGGGATGGATGGATGGGAGCGCCGGCGAGCCGACGGGTTAAACAGCCGCCGCGTGGATGGAAGAAAGGAGGCGGTTTTGACTTGGCGGTAAAACAAGTTGAGTACTTCAACATTTTTTTTTGAGAAACAGTACTTCAACAATTGTATTAGTTTTTATTTGGATTCCAACTTTTTTCTTCGAACGTCCAACTTTTCCGTCACACCAAATGTTTAAACACATGCATTGAGCATTAAACGCAGACGAAAAAAACTAATTGCACAGTTTGCATGTAAATCGCGAGACGAATCTTTTGAGTCTAATTACGCCATGATTTGATAATATGGTGCTATAGCAAACATTTGCTAATGACGGATTAATTAGGCTTAATAGATTTGTTTCACAATTTACAGGCGAAATATGTAATTTGTTTTGTTATTGGTCTACGTTTAATACTTCAAATATATGCCCGTATACTTAAAATAAATTTGGCACGTGAACTAAACACGGCCTAGGTGGTACTACTCAGGTTCAAAACAAAAAGCTTTTCGTGCTAACGATACAAGGTGCCTTTATTTTTCATAATTGCTACGAAACTTTCGTAAGTTTTTTCCTCCAAAACTTTTAGATTTGTGAAATCAGATCACTTTATAATTTGTGTATAAAGGAAAAGGAATTGCTAAAAAGAAATTTTCACACATATCAAGCGTAAGATCTCGATGCTAACCAATCAAATTATAGTTGAACACAAGTTTATAAGTTTATATAAATTATATCGTAGATACAATATAATTATAATGCAGTTATATAATTACACTTTAATTATGTTATAGATGTAACTGGAAGTTTTTAATAATTCAAAAAATTGATAAATTTTAGATACTCCCTTATTTTTTTTGGCAAATCGATATTTATAACTTTTAAAGTATTTATATGGTAAGGACATGTGATATTATATTATATTTATATTGAAAGTACTTTTATATATGTTACTAATAGCACATACATATATAGTCCATAAAATTAGTGATCAAACCGTAATATTGTAAAATGTGTAAAAATTTAATACGTCTTATATTTTAATTTAATACGTCTTATATTTCGGTATGAATGGGATACACGGTAATATAGTGTTGGCTGATGACCACTTGTGGCACGATGTTGGTCTTCTTTTTTCCGAAACATTGGTGTAAACACACACTTGTTATATGTGTACGCACACTTAGCCTACAAGAGCTATATATAACACTTCGACAGATTGAAGCAACATACTCCATTTTAGATTGACAAAATCACTATAAATATCTCAACATCAACAAATGTATCAACTATCACTAAAAATATAATCAGTTATATTAAGAATTTAAACTTGGATGAACAAGTTTAAAAAGCTTAACTGGTTGAGCTATGCTTGATACAATCTACAATGGTCTCTTCGATCCCTTACAGATTATATAAAAAAGCATGAAACTTAAGGATGGTTGTGCAAAATAATTACTATACTGCTCTAGGTTCGATGGATTTTCTGTTTCTGCCCCTGTGATGGTAATTGGAGCTTAATCACCGTGAAGGCATGTTCTATCATATGCTCATTATTTTGCAGAGGCTCATGCGTCCCAAAAAATAAGGGGACATGTCGGCCATAGTTGACAGTGTAACATGGGAGAAGTTATGCTTTCCTACGCGTTTTGGCATAAAAGAAGTTTATTCACATGTAGTACTAGCAACACACAGCTGTAAAACCTAATGCCTCCTGGTGAAAATATTATTAACAGCTCCAGATGTCTACGTGAATGGCCACTGTTGCTGTAACATCCCTTTCGTTCACTCGCTTTCATAACGAGTCAGCGGTACATGCTCCCTGCTCGGGTCAAATCCTGGCTCATGATGTATCCTTCCGAGTCTCTTAATCATAATTAACTCCCTGTGATAAACAAATGAAAGCTAAAGGCAGCTGTGGGGAAAGACACCCATCCCGCTTCGTATGGATCAAGCAGCACAATTGACACCGCCCATCACACATGCCCTGCACATAGTTGCATGCCACAAATTGGCCAGAGTACACAGATGCCAAAAATCAGGGAGGTTTGACATGTGCTTCAAGTCCATGTCAGGAATGAGATCAAATCGTTAGAACCGACCAAGAAATTTCGGGGGTGTTTAGATGGGGCTAAAACTTTTTAGCCCATGTCATATCGGATGTTTGGACGCTAATTTAGAATATTAAACATAAACTAATAAAAAAACTAATTTCATAAATGAGAGCTAATCCGCGAGACGATTTTTTTAAGCCTAATTAATCCATAATTATCAAAAGTTTACTGTAGCATCACATTGTCAAAATCATGGCGTAATTAGACTCAAAAGATCCGTCTCGCGAATTAGTCCAAGCTTATGGAATGGGTTTTATAATTAGTGTATGTTTAATACTCCAAATTAGTATCCAAACATCCGATGTGACAGGAACTTGGAATAAGTCCTGAAAACCAAACAGCCCCAGATTGCTGTCATCTTCAACAAGACATGCTACACAACACCATGTCTTGTGAACAGGGCCTGTTAAGAAGCTTCCTCTCCATCCCTTGAAGTCTTTTATAGTCGCTGTTATTCAACAGGGTCTATTAAAAAGAACACTTCTTTTCAACACCTACAGATTGAATTTCGTGCGGCCACTAGGTGGAATTCAGGTACTACTTATTTATGTGTTAGAAATGCAGTCACACGTTACACAAAATTATTTGACAAGATGCTTTGTCTAGAAAAGAAAAATATCACTTCAATCCACCACCAAACTTAAGACCTGTGATGCTCCATACTGTATCAATCATTTATACTTCATACAAACATTTTTAACACTACTCCCTTCGTCCCAAAATAATTTAACTTAAGATGGGATATGACCAATCCTAGTATAATGAGGGAGTACGCTACATATGTAACAGGTATTCATACTCCAGCATACAGAAGTGGGTTTATTCCTAGGGTCTTAGCTTATGGAACATAGACGTCAATAACGTATGGCACATTTCACAAAAGAAAGAACACCTTTTTTTCATCCTTCCAGAAGGATAGCAATCAAAGAATAAAACATAGATCTAGCTGTGGCTTTCAAGGCTCACTACAAAAGTCAATGCCTAACCAGTCCAAATCCAACCTAAACACAGGAGCAATAATATATAACAACCATCCAGCTTCAAAAGCAACATGCATAATTCAACAATTTCAAGCTGATCTGATGCATAGCTTCAGTTTTAACAGTATCCAGATTGATACAGCTCGTTGAACCTTTTAGCAAGAAAGTCGATAGCTGTGTATTAGCCTCAATAATAGAACGGTGCTATTTTTCAGAACAGAAGATGCCCCAACAAAAGTAAAAACAAATGACCAAGAACATGCTATTGTTTTATTTGCATTGAAATGCACCATGTTGACCATTGAAATGCACCATGTTGACAAGACAATTCAATCGTGAATTCATGATACAGAATTTACGAGGCACTTCTAGTACAGCTTCTCACAATTCATAATAAGAAAAATTGATAAGAAATGATATTAATTCGAACAACTTATGGAGAAAAGGACTATCACTCTTTATAATGGCATCAAGCCAATGCAAAGTCACATGTCGAATATCGATCTGCAGTAACAGAGGAACCCTGTGAGTGCACAAATAACCTAATGAAACTAATTACAATGGATTCATTTATGCACGTGCCCTCATTCATCTAAAGAACATCCAACGAAGATGTATTCCCCACACTTGTTAAAGAAAAGAGAGGTTTAGTATCTTATGCAACTAATTGCTATATTTACTTAATCAATTCCTATTCTAGCATTCCCTAATGTAGAATGTCACAAGGTTGAATACTCCAAGGTCCAAGCAACCACATATTCAGTAGTAATGGAAACAAAATGGTAGAGTGTTCTGAAGTTAGACCCAATTTGACATTTTTACTGCTATCAAACTTGGTTTCCAAAAAAAAAAAAGTACGAGTACTGGTAAATCAAACAAGCCCTAAGTTAGACAGTGGAAGATGTGCTCACACTGGAAAAGGAAGACGAAGTGCTGTACCAGCAATCAGAAGTTCAGAACTTTCTTTTCCTTCCCCTCGCCTTGGCCCTCTTCTTCCTCGCTTCCTCTTTCTGCCTCTCGGCCTCCTCCCTCTCAAACTTCTCCCTCTCCCTCTTCTGCAGGAAGTCGGTAACCGACAGGTAGATCACCTGCATTGCCAAAACAAACAAAGCAAGAGCGAAGATGAACACAATATCCAGCAACGCTATGCGCCAATTCATGGACAAATGCTTTAACCGCAAGCACACATCACGCACCCCGATGGTGAGGATGGAGAGCCCGACGAACGCGACGGTCAGGAGCACGGACACCACGGTGGCGGTGACGCTGTCGTCATCCGCCGCCACCCTCATCATGGCCTCGGTCTGCTCCATGGGCGCGTCAACTTCCCCCGCCGCCGCCACCGCCGCTCGGCCGCGGCGCAGCCTCGTGAGCCGCAGCGGCCTCGTCGCTCCGCCGCATCTCCCACCGCGACGGAGAGCAGCGTACCTCAGGAAGAGCGGCAGCGGCGTCGCCTGAGCCGGGGACGACGGGAGGACGGCGAGGGAGAGCGGGTGCGCGTGCGCTGCCGCCATTATCCTCGCCTCGCGCCGCCCGAAGCGGAACGAATGGTCGGAAACCGAGCGGACAAAACAGCTGGGCCAATCCGATCCTAAATGGGCCCGCGTGGGCCGGCCCATAGGGTTCGCGTGCGGTGGGTGGGCCCGCCCGCCCGCCCGGCCGGCCGAGTAAATTCCAGAGGGATCCATCCCTATCCCCAACCTTCTTCTCCCCCACGCCGCGACGTGACGTGACGTCACGCATTTGTCACTTTCTCGTAGCACTCTACCCCTATCTAATCCGGTGCAGCACGAGAAGAAGAAGGGGAGAGAAAAATATCTCGCGCTTCACACGCAACGCAAGAACTCGACGAGGCGAGCGAGCGATCGAGCGGACACCGGCGGCATCGTGGGAACGGGAAGGCGTGGGGGAGGGAGGAGGGCGACGGTAGGGGATGGCCGGAGATCGGCTGAGCTGGTCGGGGCTGCTGAAATGGAGCCTCTCCTACGCCGACGGGACGCGGCCGTCTCGCGCCATCAGGTGAGGAGGATTTGGCTTGCGGAGGGTTGATTGCTGTTGGGGAAATTGGAATGTGGCGGGTTCTTTTTTTCCGTTTCTTTTCTTTTCTTTCTTCTTGTTTGCTTGAGTTGTGTGGCTGATGGTGGAGAGTTGGTTGGGGGTGTGTGGGTGGTGGTGCGCGGCAGCGAGGAGGAGCGGAGGTGGTTGGCGGAGGCGGTGGAGCGTCACATGATGGTGGACGTGGTGAGCCGCATGAGGGAGATCGCGCTGCTCATGAGCACCCCGCTCTCCGTCCTGGAGGCGCACGGCATCACCCCCGACGACATCGAAGGTATGTTTCGGTTGGGTTGTCAGTACAGACCAGCGGTTGTGGTTGATTTGAAGGATTAAGCATGAATTTGAGCGATCAATTTGCGATTCGGATGATGAACTAGGAATGATGGATATTCGGGAACTAGGAATATGGATTCTTGACTCTCTTTTCTTTTCGGTTGGCGATTTGGATGATGAACTAGGGATGATGGATTTTCGGGAACTAGGAATATGGATTCTTGACTCTCTTTTTTTAGGTCGGCCGCGGAGAAGGGTTCTTGTCTACTGAATTCTTTGTAAAATTCGTGCTATGGTGTTACCAACTTGGAAGTGCCGGGCGTAACATATGGTACTCGGGAAATGTTCTCAGCAAATTGAAAATTTTATATCATCTAAAAGTTACTTACGGTTTTCGCAATCCGTGCCTACTTTTGAGATTGGCAAGGATTCGTTTTTCCGTTGTTCTGAAATTTCCCGGGAAGGCGTTATTAGAGTGCGTCTGCATGATTGCATCTCTTTGCAAGTTCATGATATTCCCTCTGTTCTTCTGCTGAAACTGACTGGAGTGGATTTGAATATTGCAGGTTTACTGGCTGAGTTGCAGGTACATGTCGAGTCTATTGACATGGCAAACGGTACGTCTAGCCGTGGTCCTCTAGACTCTAGAGCATCACCATTTTGTTCCATGCTTTACTACTGTTGTTCATCATGCTTCATCTGTGTTGTATGTTCATCATTCGAAAGCTATGATGCATAATCACATATCTACCATTCTATATTAGCATAACCACAAAAGAACTGAGGAGCCTTCACATTCACACAATTCAAGCTAGGGTCTGGTCCTTGAACACCATTTTACAAAATGTACATCCCAAACAGCACTAGCCGTCCAATATATGTGCGCCTTTGTTAGAACTCTCCACCACCATGAGTTTGTACTCTTTGCATAATCTATGTTTCTTACTATTGTATTGCTGAGTTGCTATATATGTGATCTCAAATCCATTCCTTAAGTTAAATCTACAATTCCATCTGTAGGAAACAAATGTAGCACTTGGAGGCATACATTACTGGTGTCAAAATGAGTACTTTCATAACATTGGATGATTCAAAGGCATTTGTAGTTACTGTTGAGGTGGCTAAACAAATGGGCGGAGGCAACCATAGTGTTTTTTGCAATAAAACATTGTTTTTCAGGTGAATTCTCAGCTTCCCCTTCCAATACAGCACTAATACAACTTCCAAGGGGAGCTGACAGATAGTTGTCGGATTCCTAGACTCACTTCACAAACCAATTCAATAAGACAAAAAAAAAGTTTGAAATCTGGAAACAAGGAGCATGTGACAGTTAACAACCAAATGTTAACATATTGTCGGTGTGAATTGTTTCATATGTTTGTAACTTTGTATGCATCATCTGTTGACCTATTTTGTTTTTCTTTAGATCTTCATTCTGTTGGTGGCTTGGTTCCGGTTATCAAGTACCTCAGAAATTCTAATGCTCGTATCCGAGCCAGAGCAGCTGATGTGGTAACTACAGTTGTTCAAAACAATCCAACTAGTCAGCAGCTGGTCATGGAAGCCAGTGGCTTTGATCCCCTTTTATCTAATTTTACGTCAGATCCTGATCTCACTGCCCGCATAAAAGCTCTTGGTGCACTATCCTGTAAGTATGTTGTCTATCTTTTTCAGATGGTGACAATAATAATAATACCTTGATGTTCCCCTCATTGACATTGTTCCCATTTCATGTTCAGCCTTGATTCGGAACAACAAACCAGGTGTTTCTGCTTTTCGTCTAGCCAATGGATATGCAGGACTAAGAGATGCATTGACTTCAGAAAGTGCAAGGTTTCAGAGGTACTTTAGTATAGTTGATCTGACCTGAGCCATCTTATTTAGTATTTGGCAACATTGACTTCAGATAAGTGAGGAGTATTTGGCAATGCTTATGTGCTTTTGACTGACACGCATGCTGTCTCTTCCAGGAAAGCACTGAACCTCACGAATTATCTGCTTAGTGAAAGCCATTCCGGTTGCTCGGTGTTTGCACAGCTAGGTTTCCCGCGGCTTATGATGCATTTGGTGTCCAGTGATGACTTGGGTGTTCGAGAAGCTGCATTAGGAGGACTGCTTGAGCTTGCAAGGGACACGACACTGGGAAGTAGGAGTCTACTAGCAGATCATGACAGGCTTCGACGGCTTCTCCAGGCACGTATAGAGAGAATAAGGATGATGGCTCCAGAAGACCTTGATGCTGCACGCGAGGAGAGGCAACTCGTAGATTCACTGTGGATTACGTGCTACCATGAACCGTCCACACTTCATGTGGAAGGTCTTCTTGTTTTGCCTGGGGAGGAATGTTTCGAACAACCTCCTGACGTGGCTGGTAGATTCTTCGAGCCTCTGCGGCGAAGTTCGGCAAGGAGAGCACCTTCTAATGAGAGATCAGATCCAGGAGATGGAACTGGGGGAGGAATGATGCTGCTTTTAGGTCCATCCCCAGGCAGTAGATCAAACTCGGGGAGTAATTGATCACTCTGGGATGTGAATTACATGGAAAAGGAGACTGGGAGTCTGCTGTCCTCTTATGTACATTGTGCAGGGCTAGTGCTATAGAGTGTTGCTGTTAAGGGGCTAGTAAAAAGTAAATAAATAATTTCCCAGTTTCGAAGAAATGTAAGTGGAAAATATGTGTGATGTTCAGCAGTGTATAATATGTCTGATGTTTAGCAGTGTGTAGTCTCATTATACAATAGAAATGCGAAATACTTTTGTGTAAGAGACCTAAACGATGGTGGGGTGATAGTATGAAATGTAAATGTAGCGCCCAAAATAGAAGTCACCCTGTACATGTTATGTTGTATGTGGAAGGAGAATACAGGCTGAAATTATCTCTGCATCACATGTTAAAAAGATGTTGAATCAATTAACCTGGGGGTGAATAGATCATTTCCTCCGACTATTCTGCATTTCTGCGTTACCCCCAACCTACAAACCTTCTTGTTTCTGCTCGTCTCTGGCTGATCATCCCCATTACAAAGAAGTCTCCACCCAACTATAGCTATCAAGCTTCTTCAGACGCCGTCTCTTCACCAACCTCTTGATCTTGAAGACATCATCCTGCTTGCCAGCGTTCGCCAGCGCACTCGAGAGCAGGAGGCAGCTCGCCGCATTGTCTGGCTCGACTGCAAGCAGGCGCGACGCCGCAAGCTCCGCGAGCTCGATGTTTCCATGGCTTCGGCACGCTCCCAGCAGCGCGCCCCAGACGAAGCGGTCGGGCTCCAGGGGCATCGCCCTGATGAAACCGTACGCCTCGTCGAGCCTCCCGGCGCGGCCAAGCAAGTGGACCATGCAGGCGTAGTGCTCCAGCCTCGGCTCGACGCCGTACTCCACCTGCATGGCTCGGTACAGGATCTTCCCGACCTCGACCATGCCGCCGTAGCTGCAAGCTGTCAGGACGGCGGTGAACGTCAGGTGGTCGGGCTTTGCGCCGTCGCGCAGCATCCGGTCGAAGAGGCCGACGGCTTCTTGGCAGTGGCCGGAGTTCGCCAGCCCGAAGATCATGGAGTTCCATGTCACCGTGCTCCTCTGTGGCATCTTGTCGAATAGCCGGCGCGCTTCGAGCACGAGACCGCACTTGGCGTACATGTCGACGAGGGCGCTGCTGACGGTGAGCTCTTGCTCGACGCCGGCCACGACAGAGTAGCCGTGGACTTCCTTGCCATGCTTCACGTCAGCGACATTGGCGAACGCGGGCAGGATGGTACTGATCGTTGCCGAGCTTGGCAGGACACGGCCGCCGGCAACCATCATTGCTCGGAACAGTGCGCGTGCTCTGCCGTACTGAAAGTTCAGTACAGAGCCGGAGACGCGCGATGTCCATGTGACCACGTCCGGCTGGAACCCGTCGTCTTTCATGGCGCCGACTAAATCGCCGGCCATCAGGTCATCGCCCGCCAGCGCGAAGCCTGAGACGACGATGTTCCAGGTGACCAGGTCGGGACACAGGCCGATGCCCCGCATCTTGACGGCCAGCGCCAGCGCGTGCTCCGGGAGGCCGTGGCGCGCGTAGCACGCGAGCAGCGCGTTCCAGACGACCGGGTCCCCGCGCGACGCCATTTCGTCGAACACCTTGCGGGCGCTGGCGACGAGGCCGCACTTGGAGTACATGTCAAGGAGCGCGGTGGCGGCGACGGCGTCCGAGGCGAGGGCGGGGCGGGTGAGCACGAGCGCGTGGATGAGGCGGCCGGAGGCGACGTCGGCGAGGTGCGCGCAGGCGCGGAGGGCCGTGGGCACGGCCCCCGGCCAGGGGTCCACCGTGCCACGGCTGCCAGCTTGGAGTCTGACCCCGGTGAAGAAGAGGCGGAGGACGTCGCCGTGGTGGCCTTGCCGTGAAGAGCTTGTGAGCTGCCTCATCCATGAGCTGGTTTTCGCCGGGCACATTTGCCGCTGATCCGAACCGGTGTAACGCTGTGGCTGTGTTGCATTTCACTTCAAATGAAGGAAAACGCTTCAGTCTGAGCTAGAACCGGACGGGATGGGAGAGTAGAACCACAGGGGAATATCTTTCCAAATTTCAGCTAATCAATCAAAAATATACATGAACTTTGAAATCTAAATTTCACTATAGTAGCTGGTCCCGTTCATTTCTACAACAAGATTTGGATGAAGATCAAGATTTTTGTGGCACGTTTTTTTCAAACTGCTAAACAGTGTGTTTTGTACGAAAACTTTCTATACGAAAGTTACTCTAAAATATCATATTAATCTATTTTTCAAGTTCGTAATAATTAAAACTTAATCAACCATATATTAATACCACATCGTTTTGCGTAAAACACTTCATCTTCATCTACAGGAAAAAAGAACACCAAGCTGATGAGGCTTTAGCAGCTCGGGAAGGGACTGAAAACTTGGAACGACAAGAAGAAACGCTTGACACCAGTATGATAGGTCCAAGGTTTGAATTCAGCGGTGCCAAAAGATTCAGATAAACAGGTGAAGCTCTGAGCCGACAAAATGCAGCAACAGATAGGAGTAGTTACCAACTTACCATAGTTCAACTAAAATTTATAGCCCGAATATGGGACAAAACTGCTAGAACACTTTATCTAACCAAAGCAAAAGAACAAAACAAAAAAACTCTAGCACTGAAAATGACAGGAGCAAGTACTTCTGTCAAAGAAGCACCAGACTGCGATCAAATCTTGCTTCCTACACAATACTAATCCTGAAAGCTAACTTCTCACTTTGGATGGAAGCAACATTGCTTCATTATTTCAGCGGGAACAGAAGTTCCTATTCAAGTTGAATCCAGAAACATCAACGGTTCACACAACATGCATAGGTGCTTCAGGATTCTATGCCTGCAAATGAGCTAAACAGCCCACCTCAATGATCTATTATCCACTGGTGGTTGACTGAACTGTTTTCAAAATCTCTCGCCAAATCTGAAGAAAACTGTTCCAGTACCAGCATTGTGATCTACGATGTACTCTCCCCTTACCAAGCCAAGCTTGACGCCAAGACCATATGATGACCCATGACCAACCCGTCGGAAGAACTCTGTGGGGTTCCCTTTCACATCCTTGGAACTGCCAAGGTCAGTGCCATGTTCAACAAATCCATACACATATGTGTTCCTCACAGGAATACGCAACTCACTCGCAACCTGCAGGATTAAAAGATACATAAGTCACCAACAAAGCAAGGATCACTATATGTTGCAAGTAGCCATGGTACTGGCATCAATTATATCTAGTAGTTCTTTGTTTTATAATTCTAAAATAGAGTAAATTTAAGACATTGTATCACAAAACTACAAATTTAGCAACAAATTTATCACAAAACTACAGATTTAATATTGAAGTTATCACAAAACTATAGATTCTAGAGTTTGAATCCCTAGCACTACCGTTATCTTAGAGCTGTAAACGTTGTAGTTTTGTGATTAAATTGACACTAAACCTGTAGTTTTGTGAAATATTTGCTACTTAATATTTATTTTTTGACACTCCATCTTAAATCTGTAGTTCTATAAGAAATTGTGTTAAATCTATAATTCTATGAGAAATTCTGTGTTAAATCTGTAGTTTTGTGATGGTTTTGTCAAAGTATCTATAGTTTTATGAAGTTTACTCTTCTAACTAAGAAGGAAAGTAGGGGTATCATAATATATTGCAAATTCCCTAATAACACTCACCTCAAGAACATTCCTGGAAGCACCCAGTTCACCCATACCATAGCCCCTAACTGAGTAAGGTCCTCCAAGTGTAAATGCATCATAGCTTGGCAGATCTCCTACACAACCTGCATAATGACCATGAAGAACCAAAACAGCTGGAAGTGGCTTGCCAGCACCTTTCTCCTGCTTGTTTAAATTAACAAACTTTGTCAAAGTAAGTTGGTGACGGTTGAAGAATGGGTTTTTGCTTCCAATGCCAAGACCTTGATCCAACTGCAGCCAGCCAAAAAAAAAAAACATATCAAAGGATTTACATTAAACACTAATTTGCACAAACATACAGAAACGATTTACAAAGCAATTGAAATATTGGCAGAAATAGTTGAATTCTATGACCAAAAGGGTTAATATCACAAGTTGTCACTAAACTGTGTCTGAATATTTTCCGAACATTGAACCCTCATTTTATGCAATGTATGAAAGTATCAAACTGACATATCAATAGTACCAAAGGTCTGCCTCGGTAGTTGATCTTTTCCAAAATTCCACACAACTAAGTGTATGACTGAATATTATTCCTAACTACTTGCCAATAACTGAAGGTTTAGTATGTATTCCTGGAATCACAAGGGCACAGAGCATACCTGGAAAATACATCTGTCGCCAATAACTGCACCATTTACAAATTCTGTATTGTCTCTAGTTATATTTGCTTGCAGAAAAGCCATCCGATCTATGCCAGTACCACTGAGGGTTGTGGGAGGTCCATCCATACTCAGGCCACCACTAGGCATTGCTCGAGAACCATGAGTGCAGATGCTGTTGGTTTCATCACGCGTTGTAATCTCCTCTACCACAAGGCCATATGTGAATTTGCTCTGACGTGTGAAGCTCTGAAACCAAGAGCAGTTTCCTCATGTTATTATAGATGATTATTGGAGAAGGCAGCTAATGCATAATAAAAGATGCAAAAGATCATATAAATCTGTGCAAACCTCTGTTATGTTGGCTTTGAATCCAACTCTGTCAACCCAAACAGGTGGAGCTTCATCCATATTGGGGCCAGCAACAAAGACAGGACTCAATTTCCTGGTATTGAAGCAGCTAGTTTTGAAGGTGCGGTTTTTATTACGGTCATCCACACCATCCAGATAAGGATGAACATACTCAAGCTTGAATGAGAGATCATCCTGAAAACCCAAAAAGGCATACACATATGGAATATCAGAAATCATAAGTACTATAAGGCATACACTAGATTGCTAGATCATCTAAAATACACATAGAATAATCACCAGGAATGAAACAAGTCAATGTTTCAAAATGATGCTCACAAACATACAGTACTCCCTCTGTTCCATACTATAAGACGTTTCGGGTTTGTCCTAAATTTGATCGAGTTTGTAAAGAAGTGTAGCAAGATTTTCAACACAAGTCAAATATACTATGCAAATATATTGAATGGTGGATTTAATGAAACTATAATTTGGTGTTGTAGATGTTGCTATGTTTTTTTTTTCTATACACTTGGTCAAACTTGAAAAAGTTTGACTTAAGCAAACCGAAAATGTCTTATAATGTGGAAGGGGTTGTAGTAAGGTACTCCCACCATCCCAAAATATAGCCTTCAGCACGGGTATGAAGGAGAGGGGTAAAAAGACTTGGTTGCCTTCTTGGGATGGGTCAGCTATAGGTTAGGTTGAGGCTATAATAAAGCAAAGGGGTAGAATGGGTAGAAGGGGTATTTTAGTGGAAAAACTCACCCTTTACAAGTACTAGGTAGCATCTATATTTGGGACAAAATTAACTCTAGGAAGTTATATTTTGGAACGGAGAAGTAGCAATTAATGACCACAGTTACATGAAGGTTGATTAGAACAGAAAATTTCCAAGTTCAACATTTGATGCAAGACATGGTTGTCAATTAAAAACAGTTATTTGAGGAGGTTATGTAGACGGTTTCAAAAGTAGACATTCAAGTTTTCATATGAAGTAATCAAACCAGCACGAACCAATATTGTCCCTCTTACAACTGATAACACCATAACACTTGTCTAAACCTACAAAAATTATGTTTATCTAACAGTAACAAAAAGAAAAAAAAAGATAACCAAGTGAAGAGAACATTAATCACGAACTGACCTGAGGGTTGAGCAGGTTGCTGGATGTAACAGAACCAACAATGGATCTGTTTAGACCATAGATGTTCCGGTGCTCAAATGACACAGTTCCTCCAGGTTGAATGGATGCCTAAAATAATTGCCATCAGATACGTCATACGTGTTGGTAGGGATGGATTGGAACGGTGTTGTTAAAATAAAGATTAGAGAAGAATAAAATGTTGGCTCCACAGTAGGTAAATTACCAGAGTTGGTCGGCCTTCACGTCCAGGTACGATGCTCCACTCTGTACTTACTTCAGCTGACTTCGGTTCTAATTCTTTAAGCTTGATTTCAACCACAATGCCCCCTTCTTTTGTTTCATCAGGGCGTGGATTCACCTCTATATTGGAGAATAAAGCAAGTGAATTTATATTCTTCAGAGCTTGCTTCCCTGCTCCAATGTTAAAGATATGGCCAGGTCGAAGCTGCAGGATACAGAGGTACAAGTTACTGAAAACACTAATATATCACATTCAGAATAAGAAATATACTTTTTTCTTCAAGACCCACATATCTGCAACTAATCACTAACAGTGGCAAGAAGTATGTAGTAAACGTTTAACTTCAGGCTTTTTCATGGCACAAAATCATCCCACATGTCATGAAAGGGGTACATGCTACTGCTTTTCTAGAATCAACATGGCGATAAAATTGTATAGTGGCACTAAAAGAATTCCGTGCTACAACCAGAATCCAAAGTAATCACTATGTGGCAGGGTATTCAAATTATCGCTTATACCTTCCTAAACACATGATCTAGTTATATGAATCACTAAGAAAATTCAAAGATGGGAACAAAATTATATTCTCGTATTAACTATAGCAGCTAGCGGTATTTGGTATACCTGCTGTGGGAGCTCCCTGTCTATGATAGGAATTTGGGTATTCCCCTCAACAAAATTTCCAAGCTTATCCTGGAACTGGTACTCCACTTTGGTTATATCCCCCTCGACCACCTCGCAAACAACCTCACTGGTGTTTAGGTTTCCAAAGTTCACCACCTGGGCGCAGACGAACCCCTCATTGTGGTACCATTTCTGGACATGGTCCCTGATCCTCTGCAGGAGCCTAGCGCTCACCTTCTCCTGCTTCTTCATCATTCCTAGCACCTCCCCACGCACGTTATCTGGCAATATGCACGGCTTGGCACCACGAACACGCTGCTGGTAATCACGCTCCTGCTTCCGGAGGTAATCCATCTTCTCCCTCTCTGTCATGTCCTGGTCGAAGTCAACCTGGCCCGACTGCGACATTAGCCCCACATTGATGCACTTGAACTGCTTAGCAGCGCTCCACACGCTCTCGACAAAAGACACGGTGAGGCCAAGGGTGCCATCGGGCTTGGCCTTCCCCTCGAGGTCGACCCTCTCGAACATGCCACAGGACACGAGCGTCTCGAGCTCCTTCAGAAGCTGCGACTTGGTGTACACGCCGCCGGGCTGCAGCGTCACCATCTCGAAGAAGGAATCCTCGGGCCCCGTGAACGCGCCTCCCCCTCCCGCGGCGCGGTCGAAGAACTTGAGCTCGGAGATCTTGTACCTCTTCAGCCCGCTCAGCTTCGTCATCGGCACGTTGATGTTTGCCGGGAGCCCGTGCGGGTCCCAATCCCCCGACGACTTCTCATCCGCGTGCGCCGCGCCGCCGGAGAAGATCCGCGACCAGAACCCGCCGCCGCCGCCACCACCACCACCACCTCCTCCTCCTCCGGCGCCCCATCCACCGCCTCCACCGCCGAGAGGACCCCCGGCGCCGCCCCCGAACCCGCCACCAGATGACGCGAGAAGGAATGCACCAGAGGCGGCGGCAGTGATGGCGGAGGCGAGGGCGAAGGTTTTCGAGCCCTTAGATTCGGATTTGGAGCTGGACGACGCGACGGCGAGGGGTTGTTGGGGGTGGCCGTGGGGCTGCGAGTTGTGCGACGAGGCGGAGGCGGCGGCTGACACGGAGGTGGAGCGGCCCCGCCCCCGGACTCTCCGGGATGGGCCGGCGGCCAGCGGGGAGAAGAAGAGGCTCTGGGAGGTGAGCGCCATTGCGGCCGCCGCGGATGGTGGCGAGGCTTCGGTCTTGCCGCCGGGGGAAGCAGAGGAATTTGGGGGAGGAGGAGGAGGCGGATGGGGGGGCTTTTCTCGTCTAGCCCTGGGTAAGGGTTTTCCTCCCACCCCCTATCTTTTCCACGTTCCACCGGCTTCGCGTGTTCCGGTTCGAGGGTTTAGCCGAGTCTTTGCGTGGCGGCTGAACGCCTTTTTTTTCTCTTTTTTTCACAACATTTTCTGCTTTATATTGCCGGACACAATCTCCAAATCAAACGTATTTTGTAAGTTTGTATGGTCGCCATTACTTGCAAGAAATATATGCACGTCTGTACGTGACAAAAAGGGAGAACTGCAACTACATATCGGTGGGCGTTTCAGATGTGTATCCTGCCGCCATCAGAACATCAGATTCAGATGTGAGTTAAATCTGCTGGCTTGATGGCCCTCTTTCTCTTGAAGCAACTATGTTGCGTTCTTTGCTTCCGGCAATAGCTATACCAGTATGTTGTTACAAAACAAATGTTTGGATCTCCTTTCTTTACACGTGTGTTACATACTCATACGTAAGGATTAACAGTTACTCGTACAGGTTAATAACCCTTCCAAAAAGAAGATGGCAATGTGGTGGTAAGTGGTAACTAGGCAGCACACGCATGCATGGCTAGCTACCAGCTCTCCACAGGCTGCAGATAATGCTGCAGCGACTGAACCTTCTTCCTGCCCCTGAGCTTCCGGAACGCGACCAGCTCGATCTGCCGGATCCTCTCCCTGCTCACCCCCATCAGCCGACCGATGTCGTGCAGCGTCCGCAGCCGGCCGTCGTCCATCCCGAACCTGTACCTGATCACCTGCCTCTCCCGCGGGCTCAGCCCGTCCAGCGCCCTGTCCACGTCTTCCTTCATCAGCCACCGGTGCAGCATCTCCTCCGCCGTCTCCGTGCTCGTGTCCGGCGTGATCTCCTGCGATGTATGCGGTGATCACTTGGATTCAGTAATTGGCCATGGATGAGGTCGAGGTTTTGTGATGTGTTCATGTTGCTCGGGCGAAGGGAGCAGACTCACCTGGTATGTCATGTCAGTGCACCCGACCTTGCTGGTGAGGGAAACGGTGTATTTTGGGAGGCTCATCGCCGCCTCGACGCGCCTGAGCGGCATGCCGGTGTCGGATGCGATCTCTTCGTTGGTGGGTAGCCTCTTCAGCTGCCGGCGGAGCCGCCGTCGGCATTCCTTCACCCGGGAACTTGCTTCGGCCATGTGTGCCTACAAGCAGAGCATCATAATTCATAAGAAGCCTTTCTGGTGTAAGATAGCAACGCAGCAACCGTCAAAAACAGCGGTAGATGGTTCATGAGGAAAGACGCACGAGTGAAAAATCATTATGTTATAATCGTTGCTTGGTTTGTGTTGTTCGGTTGAGCACTTGTTCCATGATGCAAATGAAAATCAATGTGTTAAATGAAATATAACAGTATCAACTATCCACTTAACTATTGCATGTCAGTGATTGTAGCCATTCCCATCAATCACCGTTCACCAATGTGCAGACATCAAAACCAACTACTTGATCTAGTAATGATGGATGAAAAAGATGGCACTATGAAATGACCAAAAGTACAATGCGGAAGTGAACATACCGGCAAGCGAATAATCTGGGTTTGTTCTAAAACGGATTTGCGTATTGCTTGTTTGATCCACCAGTGAGAGTATGTAGAGAATCGAAAACCCTTTGAAGCATCAAACTTTTCAGCGCCTCGTACAAGGCCCTGTATTCCTTCCTACAAAAGTTACAGAAAGAAATGTGAGTCATAAGCATAATCATAGAAGGGCTATACTTAACCGTAGAAAAGGGCAAGCAAAATACCTGAATAAGATCAGAAAATTCCATTCCAGGACCTTCAAACTCTCTAGCAATTGAGATTACAAGTCTCACGTTAGACTTTACCATCGTGTTCTTGCAGGAAATTCCATAGTTCAGACGTTTTCGCAAAGTGTTCTCGTCAGTTCCAGCTGCTTCTGCCCACTGTGAGAAGGTTGGTTCACCGCCGTTGTAGTGAGCAAGCTCCTTTTGGATAGCTTCCAACTTCAGGAGATCCTGTGTCAATTCATGGCAACCATCCATAGTAAGCTTAAGTTGGTGAAAATGGTGCTAAACACTAACACTGTGTAGTCTGTACTGACGATGATGCCAAGAACAACAAGAATAATATTGGGACTAGAAAACCAGTGTTCAAGAGATGATATTGGAACAGAAAAGCAACAATTCTCTAAATTTTTCACCTTAACTGTTAATAGTCTGTTACTGAGCCATATTCAGCTTCTTGTTAGCGAGCAATATTCACCTTACTGCTAGTGAGCAATCTAGGATGGGATTTTAGATGCTGTGGAATTTGCTGCAATAAACATATGCTGCTGCAACATTTGTACCAAAACATGCATCCTAAATTTTGCAAGCATAACACCACAAAACCAAAAAATGCAATCTCACAAAATGCATTCAATTTGTTAGCCTCACCTGAATGCCTTGTGAGAACTCAACTTCTTGTTTTGCTGTCAGAAGCCTCCGGCCGGTCATCTTGTAGAAGCAGCCGAGAGGACTCCGGCAACCCTTCAACCTCTTCTTCCTCGCCGACGACGACGCCGCGACGGGATTCCGGCCGCTGAACGATTTGGCCGCCTTCATCGCCGCCCTCACCCTCCGAGCTCTCCTCTCGGACTGGCGCACCGATTTCACAGCCACGCCCTGGACGCACTGCTCATCGTCATCTACCTCGGATTCATCGCTGAAGATACTGGAGAACCCCGCATCCTCCGACAGACAGGCATCGGCGTACCTCGCCCCCAATCCCGCCTCGGCGCGGAGGATCTCTCTGGCCAAGTAGTTGTCCTCCGTGTCGTGCGTCGTGACGAAGTCAGGCCGGTGCCGTTGCTCGGTTTGCGACATCCGGACGACCTCTCCGGCGACCTCCGCCGCTGCCCTTGCTAGAGCGACGGCCTCCGCCGCTGCGGCCGCCACCACGGCTTCTTGGTTGAGAATCGCCTCACCGAAACCTCCCTGGTAATTACGCAGTCCAAAGTAAGATTGAGGGCCATGAATCCCAGTGAGCCGCCCGCAGGATTCGTTTGAGGAAACAGGGCATGGTCGTGGCCAGCATTAGCCCGGAACACAGCGAAAGGACGTTACCGGAAGAGGCGGCGGCGCGACGGCTCCGTCGTAGACGACGAGACGCCTCGCCCCGGGGGCCAAGGAATCCGAGCTCTCGGCCTCTACCAGCGCGGTGGTGGACACCGCGCAGTGGAGCCTAACGGTACGGAACCCGCCGATTCCGGCGCCGCCGTGCTCCCGGAACGCCGCCGCGCGGGTGGAAAGGGGCCACTTGAGCTGCGGCGCGAGGCACGCCATCGGTGGCGCGCGCGAGAGAGCAGGTACCTTAGGCTCGAACGCGCGACGTGTATCTACCTAGCTGTTGTTGCCGCGGGCGGTAACGGTAGAAGTAGAACGCGCGGCGGAGCCGGAGAAGGGGGGCGCGGTGAGGCGTGCGTGGCTACGCGCGGGGAAGAAGCGGGAGAGGGCACGGGGAGAGAAGCGGATAAGAGCGGTGGGGACGGGAGCGTGCGGAAAGAGAGGTGGCTACCTCCGCACCTGCGTCGTGGGCCGGACCGGTAATTTTGGATTTTTATCGTGTCAAAGAACGCGGATAGGAAAAAGTACACCCAAGGTCCCTCAACTTGTCATCGAGTTACAAAATTGTCCCCCAACCGTAAAACCATATACCGGACGTCCCTCAACTAACAAAACCATTTACTTTAGATCCTTTGTCCCCCAACCGTAAAACCATATACCGGACGTCCCTCAACTAACAAAACCATTTACTTTAGATCCTTTGTTAGTTTTGACCCCGGTTTTATTCGACGTGGCGGCTGAGTCAGCGTGGGACCCACGTGGGCCCCACATGTCAGCATGGCCACGTCAACTCCTCTCTCTCCCCTCTTCTCTCCCTTCCTCATCTCTATCACTCTTCTTCTCCTCTACGACTTGGGCAGGCCGACCGACGGGTCACGGCGTCACGCCACGCACGACGGCGACGCTGGCGTCGCGCGAGACGGGCGGGTGCGCTACAAGGAGGGAGGGGACGAGGCGCCAACGGGGGAGGCGAAGAGCGCGGGTGGCGGGGGGAGGGGCAGTGCGCGGGCGGCGGGGGGAGGAGCGACTGCCAACGGCGGAGGAGCGGCAAGCCGGGCGGCGGCAGACGATGTTGGCTAAGCCCAGGAATACTCTCACACTCACGAACACAAACGCCGGTGAGGCAGACGATGAACAATGGATTTTACAGCGACGAATGCCGCGGAGCCGATCGCTCCTGTATCTTGGCTTTATTACTCACTGAACCTTGCAAAGAAACAACGAAGGAGTACAAGGGCCTCTTATAGACCGGGGACACACCGGGAGCTAGCCTCCATGCCGGCCATTGCACCACGTTCCGCAGAACCCGCTCAATGTCGCCGTGAGCCGCACGCTCGCCCGGACGACGCGGCTTCCTCCGCAAGAACCGACGCCACGCACACCACGCACTCCCACGACTCGATCAACACTGCAACGGCCATGCAAACAACCATGCAGCAGCCATGCACTCGCGATCACGACTCAATCAAACTAACAGAACGCACACGACGCACACATGCAGCAGCACGACACACACACACACTGACTCAACCACGCCAGGAATACACCATGACGTGTTTATTTCCAACAATCTCCCCCTAAACACGACATGGCACACTTCGTTATCACAGCAGCGTCGGCTCCTCATCGACGTTACAAAGCAACGCCTGTTCCTTCTTCTTCCGCGGACAGTTCCTCGCCATGTGACCGCGTTCTCCGCAGTCGAAGCACTTTCCTCGGTAGCGGCTCCTACCGTGTCCCGAGCTTGTGCTGCTGCCATCGTCGTCGTCGTCGTGGCTGCCGCCCTTCTCACCAATGCCGCCGTGCACATGCTCCTTGCCACGGCGTTGACGCCGCCTCGCCTCCCATTGCTCCTCCGTGAGCAGGAGTTGCCCAGCATGCTCCGCGCTAGACGCCGCTTGATCCTCAGCGTCCGCGTCCTCCGCCACCTGCAACCGGCCGACGAGCTCCTCGATCTTCATGGTGTCGATATCGGCGAGCATCTCAATCGCCACCGCGACTTGCTTCAGTCTCTTGGGGACCACGCGCAGAACTTTCTTCACGACGCGGCTGTCCTCCATCTCCTCACCAAGCTCGCGCAGGCTGGCGACGAGACCGTTGATGCGCATCGCGAAGTCGCCGACGTTCTCTCCGTCACGGAACGTCATGTTCTCAACCTGCTTCATGAGACGTTGGACACTCGCAGCCTTCATGCGGTCGTCGCCGGCGTGCATCTTCTTCACCGCATCCCACGCCTCCTTCGCCGACTTCTTCACGGCGAGCCCGGCCTTCATCTCCCTTGGAACGGCACAGATGATCATGGCCAGCGCGCGCCGATCCTTGCCCCGGTCCTTGCTCACTGCCTCCACTGCGTCCCACTGCTCCAACGCCTCCATGCTCACTTGCATCACCAAAGACCATTCGTGGTAGTTGGTCCTTGTCAACAGCGGGAGCTCCACGGCGCTGGAGTTGGCCATGACGCGCTCGGCGGCACCCGAGCTCGATCCTTCTCCGATCTTCAGTGACGAGCTATCTCCGATCTTCGTCATCCGGCTCTGATACCAATTGTTGGCTCAGCCCAGGAACACTCTCACACTCACGAACACAAACGCCGGTGAGGGAGACGATGAACAATGGATTTTACAGCGACGAACGCCGCGGAGCCGATCGCTCCTGTATCTTGGCTTTATTACTCACTGAACCTTGCAAAGAAACAACGAAGGAGTACGGGGGCCTCTTATAGACCGGGGACACACCGGGAGCTAGCCTCCATGCCGGCCATTGTACCACATTCCGCAGAACCCGCTCAATGTCGCCGTGAGCCGCACGCTCGCCCGGACGACGCGGCTTCCTCCGCAAGAACCGACGCCACGCACACCACGCACTCCCGCGACTCGATCAACACTGCAACAGCCATGCAAACAACCATGCAGCAGCCCTGCACTCGCGATCACGACTCAATCAAACTAACAGAACGCACACGACGCACACATGCAGCAACGCGACACACACACACTGACTCAACCACGCCAGAAACACACCATGACGTGTTTATTTCCAACAGACGACGCCGAGTCAGGGTTCGTCGACTCGCGCCTCCGCCGCCGTGGCCGTGGACGACGTCGATGTCGACCTCGGCATCCTCGGCGGTGGAATGAACTACATCAGCTAGCTCACCAGCTGGCGTCCGGCATCCACGGCCGCGACGGCACAGCCGCCCACACGTGCCGAGGGCGACGTCGTCCGCAGCCACGGCGACGGCAGCCCGGGTCGATGAACCCCGACTCGTCGTCGTCCGCGTTGTTGTACCGACGCTGGACTACGAGCAGAGAACCGCGCTGCGGTGGAGTAGCCTGTACCGGCGCATCGTGGTGGGGCACGGTGGCCGGCCAGTGAGGCGCACACTGAGGACCTGGGATGAGGACGAGCGTTGCCTCGGCAAGTAGGAGCTCGCCCGCCGCCGCTCAATCTGACAATGGATAATCAGAGAAACAATCAACAATTAGGACTGATATGTAGACATGAATTGAAATTGCCAACTTGTAGTGATTCCTGGTACGTTACAAGCAAAGCATGTGCAGGATGGCCGGAGTGGCAGGAGACGCTGCAGCTGGCGCCGGGGATGCCATCGCTGCACGCCTGCACACGTCGCTTTTGTCGTGGAACAACTCTGGCGCGGCGGAACGGTAGCACATCATCTTCGATCTCGCCCTGGTTCGAGTCAATTCGTCACTAGAGAGAGCCAGAGGAGCACGAGCCCCTAGCCCCGCCGCGGATGGTGCTTGCAAAGGCGGCGCTGTGGCCGTGGCTGGCGGCGGAACCACGGGAGCTGAGGGTGGAGCTGGGCCGGCTCTGCTCCCACGTCGTCGCGCGCAGAGTGGAGCTCGACGGCGCGGGTGATGCCGTGCTGGTCCTTCCTGGCCGTTGTCGACCGCGTGGCCGTCGCCGAGGTCGAGCTTGTCGCCTCGCCACGGTCTGCTCCCGGGCTCGACGCTTCGCCTCCCCCGTCGCCCGCAGCTCCTCCCCCCGCCGGCACCTCGTGGGCCTCGTCCCCTCCCTCCTCGTCGCGCACCCGCCTATCTCGCGCGACGCTAGCGTCGCCGTCGTGCATGGCGTGACCCATCGGCTGGTCTGCCCAAGTCACAGAGCGAAGAAGAAGAGTGATAGAGATGAGGAAGGAGAGAATGTCACGACCAGAAATTCACGAACCAGAATTTCTAAGCTGAATGTGTATTACACCCCTGTCCAGGACTAGCCAGGGTACACAAACGACAATTGTTGACATACAGATCCACGTCTTACAAAAATATAAAAGATTACAAATGCAGCGGAAAAGATAAAAGCGAGCTAAACCGGGAAGCTTGACTTCAGCAGCGGGGCGACTCCATTCCACAAGCAATCCTTGACGGCAACGACGGAACCAACCTCTCTGAGACGGCTCCAACTGAGAAGAACTTCAACTCTAGTGTGGGGGAAAAGAGAGCAAGACTGAGTACTACCCACTGTACTCAGCAAGTCATACCGGAGGAGGTATGATGCAGAACATAACCAAAGGAGGCTACGGGGTTCATTTGCATAAAGCAGGCATTTAAAACCAGTAGTTGAAAACAGTAAAAACAGTTGTAGTAATTAAGCAATATTAACCAGTCACTGTCCAACGCTACACCACGTTGCAACAGGCCCAACCAACCACCTGAACTACACCAGTTCATTAAGCTAAACTAGGGGTGAGACTAATCACGGTGAATCTGGTCGACCGCCCATAACCGCGGGCACGGCTATTCGAATAGTTTTACTCTGATCAGAGGTGTACAACTGTACCCACAAAACACAGCCCCACGACACGTTTCTGTGTGCCGACATGCCACCACGACATACCGGAAAGAGGCCGTGACAGGACCCTTCGCATAACTCCCTCTAACCGATCGCACCACACCTTAGGGTTCGCCCCCGTCCCCAGCAGGCAACAGGCAACCCCCCTTTAGTGCCGCAGTGAATCCGGAAGCCGATCAACCGGACACCCTGGCCGACCCAACTCCATCACGCCCACCCTCGCCTGGGTACGTCGGCTAGAGAAAAGCTACACTACAAGCCCAGTCGTTGCCCACGCTGGCTTGTGGTAAGCACGATAAATTCTTCCAGGGTTTCCCGCGAACCGGTCCTTAATCGCCATGGGCACAACTGGTAAAACCATGCACCCACAGCCCACCATGTAGTGTATTTTAATAAGCCAACACCATTACGGTGGCACTAATCCAAAGTTATTGCCAATGATCAAAGTCTATGCTTTAATGAGATTCCCTTTTTGTGTACTAGTAGAACTAAGCATGGCTAAGCATTTCCTAAACCAACATCTAATCATTTATGATACCCAAGTTATCAATGGCATAAGGTAAACAATGTATGGCTGAGTAATAGGACCCATCCCACATGACATTGTAAAAGAGTGCAACATTTGATAGAAATGCAGGGTGTTTGTAAA